ATGGCATTTAATTTCAGAAAGGGGAAATACACAAAAATGAGGTGGTTAGTTAAACAGAAATTAAAAGGTACAATGCCAAAAGTAAAATTCCTGCAAGCTGCACGGAGACTTTTCAAAGACACCATTATAGAGGCCCAACTTAAATGTATACCCCAAATTAAAAAACACAGTAAGAGAAACAAAGAAGTGCCACCATGGATTAACAGCCAAGTAAAAGAAGGCATCATTTAAAAATGGAAGTTAAATCCTAGTGAGAAAAATAGAAAGGGGCATAAACTCTGTCAAATTAAATGTAAAAATATAACAAGGAAGGCCAAAAAGGAGTCTGACGATCAACTAGCCAAAAATTCAAAATGTTTTTAAGTACATCTTGGATGACCAAGATGCTAAAGGAATACTCTAAGACAGTAAGGTCATTGCAAAGAAACTAAATAAACCCTTTACTTCAGTCTTCATGGCTGAGGATGTTAGGGATACTCCCAAACCTGAGCCATTCTTTTTAGATGACAAATCTGAGGAATTGTCCCAGATTGAGGTGTCATTAGAGGAGGTTTGGGAACAAATTTGTAAACTTAAGTGACAAGTCACCAAGACCAGATGGTATTCACCCAAGAGTTCTGAAAGAACGCAAATGTGAATTTGCAGAATTATGAACTATGATTTGTAATCTATCATCTAAATCATCTTCTGTACCTAATAACTGGAAGATAACTAATGTAACACTAAAATTTTAAAAAGGCTCTTGAGGTGATCCCAAGAATTACAGACTGGTAAGTGTAATGTCAGTACCGGGCACATTAGCTGAAACTGTAGTAAAGAAGGGTACGTCTACACTACAGCGCTATTTTGAAATATCTTTTTGAAATAACGTGTTTACACAAAAAATGCATTTTGAAATAGTGTGTTGCTATTTCGAAATAGTGCATCCACACTGATTGGATGCTGAATCACATTTAAGGGCAGCTGAAACCGGTTCCAATAGGGCATTAAGTCAGTAGTTGCTTTGTGTGGCTGCTGCCTGAAGCTATCTGAGGCTTGTGCTTAAAGGGACTTCCCTGGACAGCCGGTTCTCAGCTTTCCCTGCGTGCTTGCCTACCTCGCTGAGGGACAGCAAAGCATTTCTGTCTCTGCTTACTTTGGTTGCCCTGACTCAGGACACCACAGCACTTGGCAGCATGGAGCCAGAGCTGCCCCTGGGCACTCTGGTGCTCATTTTGGATGTCTTGTTGCAAGCCTGGCTGCATTTGCTGGCGACTGCCTGGCAGCATGTGCTGCAGCCCAACCCCCAGGCCCTCTTCTGGACCCCCCTGGGGGTTGGGGAGGAGCAGCAGCAGCGCCCAGATGCCAGCGTGCCCCACCGTAACTGGCATCTGGACACCAGCAGCGACTGCTGGGTCCACATCGTCCTGGAGCGCTGGGGAGACCAACAATGGACCCAGAACTTCAGGATGAAGGACACCTTCCTCAAGCTCTGTGAGTGGCTCGCCCCTGCTCTGTGGCGACGGGGCATGCACATAAGGCCCACCATTCCCTTCCCCAAATGTGTGGCCATTGCACTCTGGAAGCTCTCCATGCCGGATAGCTACCGATCTGTGGCAAACCAGTTCAGCGTGGGGAGAGCCACCGTTGGAGCAGTGCTCATGCAGGTATGGCAGTCTCTGGCCACTGTGCCAGGAGGGGAGTGGTGCAAGGAGGGGATGGGCTGCCCTAGGGAAAAGTGGGGGAGGGAATGCAAGTCCCCTCCCTGGGAGGGTTTGTTCTGTACCAACCACACTATGGACTACCCGCAGTGGCCAGGATTGCAGGAGGGGTTGGTCCTGGGGGGTGATGGCACGGGGCAGTGGCAGGGATGGCACACTGTTAGCCACCCTGGCATTCCAGTGACTCTCGGTTTTGTGTGTCCCTCTGCAGATGATCAAGGCCATCAACAGAATGCTGCTCCGCAGAGTCATCCACCTTACTGATTTGGATGCGATCATTGAAGGTTTGACCTGGGCTTCCCCAACTGCGGGGGGGCAATCGATGGGACACATATCCCCAATCCATGCCCCAGACCACCAGGCCTCCCTGTATATCAACCAGAAAGGATACTTCTTGGTCATCCTTCAGGCTGTGTCTGACCACCAGGGCCAGTTCGTGGACATCAACGTGGGCTGGCCCGGCAAAGCACACGACGCGTGGGTTTACCGCAACTCCTCCATGTGCCAAAGGCTGCACACCGGGACTTTCTTCCCTGACTGCCACATCAGGGTTGGGGCTGTGGACATGCCTGTATGGGGATGTGGCCTAACCCCTACAAACCTGGCTGACGAAACCCTACACAGGACACCTCAACCCCTCCTGACAGGCCTATAATGCCACGCTCAGCAGGGCCCGCATCGTGGTAGAGAGGGCGTTCGGCCGGTTGAAGGCCCATTTTAGATGCCTCCTCTCCCACCTGAACCTATCTGAGTGGAATATTCCGCACATAGCGGCAGCGTGTTGTGTGCTGCATAATTTGTGTGAGAGAAAGGGGGAGGCTTTCCTGCCAGCCTGGATGGCAGAGGCCAACCACTTGGCTGGCCTCTACATGCAGCCCCAGATGGCTGCCAGCTGGGAAGCCCACTGGGGGGGCTGTCCGTATCCGGGAGCCCTGTGGGAGAGCTTCCACCTGGAGGAGGAGTGAAGTGTTCCTGGCATGTCCCACAGGGGCCTTGTGCCTTATTCCACCCTCACATCCTTCCACTTTTCCCTTCCTAACCCCCCTTCCTGATGTAAATTAAAAACACATGTTTTGCCAAAAACCAACTCTCTTTATTGACCATAACTAGGGTGAGGGGGGAATGAGGGTGGGAAAGTGGAAGGGGAAACCTGGGAGGAGGGATCTGGAAGGGGGAGACAAGAGAAGGAAGGGGGAGAAACTCAGGGTTGGGGGTCTTACTGGTCCACCTGTCTCCCAGTACTGCGGGTGCAGGGACCTCGGCATCCCAGGGTGGGGAGTAGGTATGGAGGGTGAGGCGTGTGGGGAGGGGAGGAGGAATAAGGGGGAGGGGGAGCAGGAGTGAGAAGAGGAGCAACAGCTGGGGTGGCTGCAGGGGCTGGAGCGGAAGCAGGCAGGAATCTCTGCACCAGGGTCTGCAGGTGGTTGTGGATGGCCCGGCTCTGGTCAAGCAGCTCCTGCAGGCTCTCCCGCCGCAGCTGCAAGTCTTCATGCCCCCAGTGCTCCTGGCTGCAGACCTGCCTTTGCAGTAACCCCAGGTGCTGCCACTGGTACTCCTCCTGGTTCCAAGTGAGCCTGCTGGCCTGGGTGCACCCTGCACTCGCAGCTGCTGTGGCTGTGGAGAAACACGAGAAGTGGTCATTTATCCCTGGGGACACAATGGGTGAAGCCCGGCCCTGCTCTGCAAGGCGAGGATGGCAGGTCTCCACACTATCCTGTCCAGCTATCCCTGGAGTGTGAGCTGGCCCCTGTGCTGTATATAGTGTGTGTGTGGAGGAGGGTGGGGGTGGGGGTGGGAAGGGGAGATGTGCCCTGCCTCTGCGTAGAGGGGGCTTGTGGAGGGAGGGCATCGTGCAGTGTCCTTCCCCAGGGTCAGGAGTACGTCATATGCCTTCATACATACATGCGTGTGGGTAACAAGCCAGGGCCCCTGTGTTGCAGCCAGTTGAGGCCACATGCCCAGGGTGGCACAGCACATGCACAGGTTTCTGCGTGCTCCATGGTCAGCAAGGTCCACAAGTGCGGTCCCTGGGTTCCCTCTTCTCCCCCCCCCCACCGCATAAGTGGACAGTGATGCACCGCATAAGTGGACAGTTATGACACATGTCGAGGTCTCCCCAGCTTCGGATGACACCTGCGACAGGCTTGCTGGGACAGCTCAGGGGTCCTGGGTGCGGGGCATGCTCCTTCCAGGCTTATGCGGCTCCTGGCCGTCCTCCTCCTCCTCGGTGTCATGGGCAGGACCCTCTGCCCCAGGGTCGATGACCACCTGGAGGGCACAGACCATCTGACCCCCCCATGATGTGGTCCAGGGCATCATAAAAGGGGCAGGAATCCGGGTCAGCCCCTGGTTGGGAGCTGCCCCCTGAGGCGCTGGCATAGGCCGGCCGCAGCTCTTTGATTTGTGCGCCTGTGTCCCTTTCGGGCCATGGCGGCCACTATGCAGCCATAGACAGCCGCATTCCTCCACCTAGTGCGGAGATCATGGAGGTTAGGGGCCTGCCCCCAAACCTCAATGAGATCCATGACCTCCGCACTAGACCAGGAAGGCGCCCGCCTTTTGCAGCCCCTGGCAGGCTCCTGGGAGCTTCCAGCCTGCTCCTGGGGAGCGGTGGAGGGCTGGGTGCCACTGGGTTGCTGGCTCATGCTGGGCCATTCTTCTGGAAGCATTTGGAGTATTAACATAGCATCCTTCTCTTATTGGTAGAGAAAGGTCCAGGGACAAAAATACCTCTATTTGTAGGTACTTATTCCCACAGTTTCCTCATTCCTTATCTTTACTGATCAAGTTTTAATTAACTATTAAATCCGATAGGTAACCATGTTAGTCTGGAACTTTAAAAGCAATGAGCAGTCTTGTGACACCATAGCTTCCGTGTGTAAAACTCACTTCGTCAGCAAACCACAAAAGCTTATGATAGATTCGTTAGTCTCTAAAGACCACAGTACTGCTTATTGTTAAATCAGAGTTTACTGTGGGGCTAAGTCTATACTGCAGGCTTCTTGCATAAGAAGCTTTTTGCACAAGAGCGCGTTCACACTGCATGGTCGCTCTTGCGCAAGAAAGCTCTGATGGCCATTCACGGGATCAGAACTCTTGCGCAAAAAGGAGTTATGCCTCGTAGAAGGAGGTATACCTACACAGAAAAAAGCCCTCTGTTCTGCTGTTTTACTGTCGATTTACTTTCACAAAAACACACTTGAGGTGTAGTCGTTTTTGTGCAAAAACCTTGCAGTGTAGACGTAACCTACGAGTTTGCAGATGGATAAGCAATAGTGAAAACCAAATGTATGGCCATAATGTTACTTTAATGTTTCAATTTCATAGTGACAGATGTCTAAGATTATCATTTCCAACAAAACTGCACGAGACTTATGAAGTTAAACAGTGAGTTAATCAGTTTCTCAGACAAATACAACATAAAATTTTGCCAACATTTTGAATGTATTTATTCATGTTTGAACTTGTATAAGGAAAAGTTTCCATGCTATAAATGTTTTTATTAAAAACAAGTAATTAGAAATAAATAATAGTACATTTATAGAAATAAATAAAAGAGCAATATTTGCACATACTAATAATGGATTTTCTATTATAAAACTGATGTGCATTCCACATATTTTTTCTTTTTGTGTGAGCATCTGATATAAAAAGATTAAGTTGCTAATTGAATTTGATACTAATTTGTAGTTTTCATGCATGCTCAAACTATTTACATAGAGGATTTTCATCTATGCTCTTTTGAAATAATAATTATAATGGGAACATGATTTTCTGTTCTTTTTATTAATTTTGGATTCAATACAGGAGTCCAAATATTGCAAAAAAAGTATTATGATAAATAGAAAGATTAACACATTAGGTCTTTTTTTCTTGATTGTTCATGGGAACAACTGATTAATATGAAAAAGATAAGGATGCTTATGCAGAAGGAAGTTTGATAATACCAGTAAGTTAGAGTTAAAAGTACATTATTTATCAACCAAGACCATATTTTTGCTAGCAGTGTGAAAATGCATTGGCTTCTCAAATACTAGGGAAGCAGAACTCCTCAATGCTATTCTCCTTTCTATTTTCCAATTCGTATTGGTCAAGCTGATGATACTCAAATGACACACGATTAATATGCTTTCCACTGGACACCATTCGTAGTACAGTATTGTCACAGCCAATCTTCATTTGAGCTAATCAATAAAAAGAGTTTTACATTATGTTAGGAATTACTAAATACAAATACATTACTTTCAGAGTATAACATGCCTAAATATATAGTTTAAAGAAAGTATCCATTCTTAAATAGTAACTATCCCCCTATGAAGAACTTTTCACGCAGCTGACTATAAAACGAGGACACAACTGAATACAAACTAAATATTTTAAAAAATTTAAAATGCAATTTTCTATTGCCTTTTTTATTATTCATTTTAAATGGTTTGGCATTTTCACTAAATTTTCTATTTATTAATATTAATTCTATACATTATCAGGAGCTTCTGGGGGTAGCCAAGTCAGTCTGTTACGATAAAAACAACAAATGGTCTGGTAGCACTATATAGACTAAAAAACCATGTAGATGGTATCATGAACTTTCAGATCAGGTCAAATTCTGAAGAAGTGGGCTGTGCCCACGAAAGCTCATGATACCATCTACATGTTTTGTTAGTCTATAAAGTGCTACCAGACCATTTATTGTTTTTTTTCTATATATTATGGCCACCTGTCTTTTGTCTATGTCCATGCTTCTCTAAGGGTGTGTCTACACAGTACTGTAACTCGAAATAAGATACGCAATTTGAGCTACGCTGTCTACACAGTGCCAAATTTTGAAATAAAACAGGAAGCAGCAGCCCTGGCTACACTTCTTCTCACAGCTCCCCTTGGCTGCAAATGGTGAACCACAGCCAAGGGGAGCTACAAGGCTCCATGGCTTCAAAGTCATTAAATAAACAAAGTAGAGTGGCCCGTTAGCAGCATTCTCAAAGTGGGACCACAGCCCACTTTAGAAACACTGTTCTATGTTTACACTCTGAAATGTATATGAATGTTAAATGCCATTGATAATAATATTTAAAGGAAATCATTCCAAATCATGGAGGTGTCATCAATAAACAATATATGAAATCTTTCCTATTGAAAGAATAGCAGTTTTTAGGTGGCAACACTAAGAAGATTCCTCCTAATGTAAAAAGTGTGTTTAAATTCTAGTATGATGGGCCCAAAAGGGGAACAATCACATTAGCCAGGTTTTCTTAAGACAACACTCTGTAGGAGAATTCAGGATGAGAGTTCAATGTGCATTGTAACACAGTTAATGGGGGAGTATTGAAACATGTCTACTTCAATCCTATCTCTTCATTACAACAAAGTAAAAGGCTGAGGGCAGATAAATTTATCTTGAATAAGAGGAATTATGGACCAATCAGCCTAAATCTGATATCTGGAAAAACACCAGAACAAAATATTAATCAATTTGTAAATATCTGTAAAACAACAGTGTTAAGGAATAACAAACGTGGATTTGCCAAGAACAAATAATGTCAAACTAATCTAATTTCCTTTTTTTGACAGAGTTACTGGCCAAGTGGATAGGAAGGAAGCAGTAGACATGATATATCTTGATTTTAAGTTTTAACACAGTCCTACATGACATTCTCATAGGCAAACTAGGGAAATGTGGTCTAGATTAAGTTATTATAAAATGGGCACACAATTGTCTGAAAAATCATATTCAAAGAGTAATTGTCCATGGTTTGGCCCCCTTCCCCTTCCCCACCGCCACCGCCACCCCCACCCCCAGTATTTTTTAGTATAAGTTAGGGACAGGATGCTGGGTTCTGTGAATCTTTGTTTACTTCAGTGGTCTCCAGTCTTTTTAACCACAAGAACACTTTTTCAATTTAAGTGCAATGTAAGATCTACCTCAAACCCAAATACCCTTGCCCCACTTTCTTCCCGCCCCTTCTTTGAGACTCTGCCCCTGCTCCATCCCTTCTCTGAGGCCTCACCTTGCTCACTCCATCTTTCTTCCTCCCCCATCCTCACTCACTTTTCCCAGGCTGAAGTAGAGGGTTGGAATGCAGGCTCTGGTCTTGGGCTCTGGAAAGGAGTTTGCATGCAGGGGGACTCATGTCTGGAGCAGGAGGTTGGGTGTAGGAGGAGGTTCAGGGCTGTGACAGGGGTTCAGGAAGCAGGCTCTGACACGTAACTGTTTAACTGAGATGGCTTCTGGGTGGTGGAGTTAAGGCAGGCTTACTTCTGCCCTGGTTTTGCACCACTCCTGAAAGCCACTGGCATGGACAGCAATGGCTCCAGCATGACACGTAACTGTTTAACTGAGATGGCTTCTGGGTGGTGGAGTTAAGGCAGGCTTACTTCTGCCCTGGTTTTGCACCACTCCTGAAAGCCACTGGCATGGACAGCAATGGCTCCAGCACATCATGTGCTGCCCCTCATCTACAGGCACTGAGCCCACAGCTTCTACTGGCCACAGTTCCCCGTTATTGATCAATGCAGTAGTGGTGTCTGCAGGCAAGGACAGGTGCATAGGCATGTGCACAGAGTGTTCCGGGTGTTCCCAGGCACACCCTAATGTCTCGGGCTGGCTAGCGGCTGCTGGAGGAGGAGGGAGATTTGAGATGGGGAGCCGCAGCCCCTCACTTTCCCCTGGCCATCTACGGGGCACTTTGGGGCAGAGAGAGTGTGTGCGCGGTGGAAGCAGCTGGGGCCCAACCACAGATGCCAGCCAGAGCCACTTTTGCACCCCGGACTCCGCCCGACCCGGCAGCACCGTGTGGTGTCTCTTCTGCACCCGGGGGTGACCCCGCCCAGTCCGGCAGCACCCCTTCTGCACTCGGGGCCCCGTCCTCGTCCCCGTCCCCATCCCCGTCCATCCTGGCAGCACTGCGTGGTGCCCCTTCTGTGCCCGGGGCCCCGTCCTCATCCTTGGCCCTGGCCTCAGCCCTGCCCGGCCCGGCAGCACCGCACGGTGCCCCTTCTGTGTCCAGGGCCCTGGCCTGGCAACATTGTGCGGCGCCCCTTAAAGTGAGGTGCCCCGGACTAGGGCCCAGCTGGCCTGTAGCTTGGGCTGGCTCTGACTCCAGCCCCGCAAACTGGAAGGCAGAATCCGGCTTAGCGGAAGGTAAGGTAAGGGAGGGGAGGGGAGAGAAGGGGGCAAGGGTGGGAGAGGAAGGGGCGTGTGCTGAGGGGAGGGGGGCAGGTCAGGAGAAGAAAGGGGAAGGCACCAAGGGACAGAGTAGAGGAGAGACAAATGCCAGGAGGCCAAGTGGAGACAATGAGGAAAAGGGCAGGATGGGCGGTGTCAGTGGAAGGGTGGACAGGGTGATGCTGGGAGAGGAGAGGGTAAGGGCATTGAGGGTTAGAGGGGGAAGGTGCTGGGAAAAGGCTTGAAAGAAGGGGTGGGCATGAGGAAGGCAGGGATGGAGCAAGATATGTGTGAGGGCACAGGGGCATGAGAGGAATAGGGACAGAGGGTGGTGAGGGGGTGAGCATCAGGAAAAAAAAGACAAAGGGGGCAGGGGCAGTGAGGGAAGGGAGAAGCACCAGGATGGTGCAGGAGTAAGGGAAGGTGCAGGTGCCAGGGAATTCCGGGGGGTGAAGCAGAAGGGCAGACACCTGCAGGGGAGGGACCAGCACCAGAGGAGAGAGGCAAGGCAGGTGTGTAAAGGGAGGTGTTAGGAGAGGGATGAGGAGGGGTAGCTCACATGATCAGAGTGGGGCTACTGGAGGAGTGGGCACAGGGGGGAGAGAAGGGCTGGTGGAGGGCGGCAAGTCTCAGGAAGGCTGAGGGCAGTGAGAAGGGCAGGAGTCAGGACAGCAGAAGAGGGTGAGGGGTTGGGGGGCAGCAGGCACCAGGGGAGCTGATGGAGCAAGGGGAGACATGGCAGCAGAGGGAAAAGGTAGAGGTTTATAAGATATTTATTAATAACTTGGGTACCACAGTGGCACATCCAAACAAGCCACATGAACTTAGTACTGGTGCACAACACAAAATTCATTCTGCTCCTGGGAGGAAACTCTTAGAGGGAACACTTCCCCCAACCTCTCCGCCCCCGAGTTAATGTCACACACATTGGGTTAATGCAAATGCAGGATAGTTGCATAAGGGGGGCTTGGTGGGGCCCAAACTAATCCCTATTGGTAGGAGGATGGTGGGAAAAGTCCTTAGAGGGGGATCACATGACACCTTTTACATCTGGTCATGTGTCCATCTTGCCCTGAGAGTGTTACCTCCAGAGGTGTGGCCAATGGGAGTTGGGGTGTGGCCAATGGGGGGTCAGAGGTGTGGTTAACAGGGGTCAGGGGTGTGGCTAATGGGGGGTCAAAGTACATTTAAAAAAAATTATTTGGGTGCACACCCTAATGAAATGTGCTGCGCACACCTATGGATAGGTGTCTGCTTTTCTGTGGGACTGCAGGGACATGCCAGCCACTTTCAGGAGCATCAAATCCCATAGGGATAACGACTCCAGCCACGACAGGTTGGGCATTTTAGAACTCACTACTCAAAGAATTAAATTTAAGCATAAGAAAGAAATTCAAATAATGAAATGCACAGACCAGTCAAAAACCAAAAATAACATACTCTGCAAACAATAAAAGAAGTAACAACAACCCCTCACATATGTGTTGGGTCGGGAGATGAGAGGGAAGAACAGTGTGTGTTTGTGAGAATGACAGACACACACACAGGGTGTGAGGGTGACAGAGATTTGCATTGCCAAGCTCCCTTCATCCCTTTCTCTCTGTGTGGAGATAGGGTACAGAAGTGGGGGGAGGCGGGACACTCTGACATCAGCACCCCCCTTTTCCCTCCCACATCTTGCACAACAAGTAGGAGGCTCTCAGGGGACAGCTCCAGGGAAGAGGGCAGGAGCAGCATGACAGTGGGTGGAGGGGCAACTGAAATGCTAGCGCTTGATAGTTTCCTGGGCAAACCAGTCAGGATCACCTGTCAGAGGTTCCAAGATCTACTGGTAGATCCCGACCACTAGTTTATGACATGCAACCTATTTCTGACTTTTACTAAAAATACCTATGACAGAATTTTAATCTTGCCAATGAATGAGCGTGACACTCTCCTTACTACTATCCTTTCCTCCATGGGTGGTGGGTATAAGAGATGGGGGAAGGCAATGTATTCCCAAACCGGGAAGCATGGCACTGCCCGCACCCCACCCCTAGGATCTGCATGGCTCCTTGGGAAGTTGGGGCAGTGCACCCTCCCTGTGGGGCCAGCCAGGCTGGGGCCATGTGCCACCTGCTGTCCCCATGCTCTGGGACCAGGAAAGCTCCCATGGGGAGATCCCGAGATCCTACCCTTCACAGGAACCAAGCCCCACCCCTTGCAGGGGTAAGCCTCCAGCTGGGCTGGGGTCTTTCCTCTCACAGCACTATGTTCATCCACTATCCATGATTCTCTCATATCAAAAGGCAGTGCAGACAGATCCTGTATGCCTTCCTCAACATGTCAGCTTTCAAATATGTACCTTGGTGCTATCCCTTTTTCAATTCCCAGGAGCATCCTTTCTCAGGTGAACTTGAGCTCCAAGATGTGACAATTGTTCCTAAAGTTTCATAGCAGCCTATTATGCTGAAGCTAATCCATTATGGTCAAGTCACTTCTATGGGACTATGCTGTTGTTCATCTCTTTTCCCATTCTCCCACCTGTCCTCAATTCTTCTATTCTCATACCTTTTCTACACTTGTTCCCATTTTTTATCCATTTCCTTTCCCCATGTTCTACTATATCTCTACCCTCTTTTTTCTTCCTCTGCGTCTCTCCCCTTCCCAAATTAATCCCTTCTCTTTTTTCTCTCAGCCCCTGGTCTTCACCCTGTTAAGTCCTCTGTAAACACAGGGATATGCCACTGAAGTTAGTGAAATGTCACAGTATGGAAGTCCTACAGTACTGAGCTCTTGTCTTGTTCATTTCTTCTCCAGATATTCTGCTGAATCTGTCCAGCCACCTGTATTCTCTAAATATGTGCTAAGACTGATATCGGGCTCCAAACCTTGCCAGAGTTGACTGAGCCCTGTTTTGTGATAAACTGCCCAAGGGGGAATTTGGTATTAACCTTTTTAGACCATTTCAAGAACTCAAAGTGACCTTTTATATTTGGAGGGAGCCTGAATCCACTGACCTCCCAACTCTTCAGATTCATCCTGACAATAAAGCATTGTATGATTTCCTTTTCTCTCATTAATTGGAACACAGTTTCACACTGTATACAATGGCTGCCTTGGAAACAATATTACCTAATAGGAGCACTCAGCGTAGGCTCAGTAACATTTTTTTTATCTGAGATTTTAATTCTATTTGCTTTGGTGTACAGCAGTTTCTCTCAAATGGTAGGTCGTGGCCTCAAAGCTGGATTATGAAAGGCAAATCGGGGTAGGAGGAGGAGATGTCACGCACTGCTGAATTACAATGCAAAGCAAAAAAAATCTCACTGCCACATACACCCTTACTCATCATGATCAAGTGTCCTCTGTCAACCTCTCAAATCACATTCCCACACAAATATACAGGCTTATTGTTATCATTCATACATATGTACTCTTACTTTTATAGCAACTGTAAGGAGATTGCAATAACTTTTTATTTTGAATAATAAGTCATCAGCTGGAATGGGTATGCTGTTTTAGGGATTCTCTAACATCCCACATCATTAGAGGAAATGATGTAAGCAACACCTGCTTACCTTTCCAAAGGAAAGGGAGGCTCTTGAAACTAGAACCGGGTGACATTCATGAGACAAAACTTTTTTGTCAAAAAATATAGATTCGGGTCAACTGAGGTTATGTCTAGACTGCCAGCTTCTTTAGGAACAATCTTTTTTTTTTTTTTTGGAAGAGATCTTCTGAAAAAACTTATTCCAAAAGAGAGTGTCCACACATAAAAGTGCATTGAAAAAGCTATCTATTTTTCGAAAGATAGCATCCACACTGAATGATGATATCTTGCACACAAGCTGTGATTACTATGGACGCAGTGACCACCAAGGCACCTGTCCTTTTTCCTCTTTCCTCTTCTTTCAAAAGGACTCCCTCTTCCCCGTCCACACACGCCTTTTTCCGAAAGAGCTCTTTCAGAAAAAGGTTTCTTCCTCATAGAAAGAGGATTACCAATGCAAAAAAACTCTCTGTTCTTTCTATTTACTTTCAGAAGAACATGATTGCAGTGTGGATGTAACTCAGATTTTGTCAGAAAAATGGCGGTTTTTCCAACAAAACTCTGTAGTGTAGAAATACCCTGAAACATTTAGCTAATTTATACTAAATTCACCAAATTGTTTTGATCTGAACAAAATAAAATAATCTGAAAAAAATCAAAATGTTTTGTTTTGACATTTTGAAGGAAACATTTTAATTATTCATTCAAATTGACTTTTTGTTTTGTATTTTACATCAACTATATAAAATAGGTTAAAAATACCTTTAAACGTGAAACATTTGATTTGGGGTTCAATAAAATATTTTCTTTGACATAAAATGAATATATTTTTTTAAAAATTTAGTTTGCCAGAGTATTTTAAATGTTTAGCTTACCTTGAAAAAATATATATTTTCGATTTTTCAGGTCAGTGACCAGGCCAAAAAATTGCTTAATTGCATAGCACTGTTTGGGACTTTGAGTAACGTACAAACTACTCCTCCCACTCCTCTCAGAACTTGCCTGTCCTGTTTTGACCTTACTGTGTTGCTAGGAACATTCTATTGTAGTCCTTATTGACTATGGACACATCTGTAATCTGCATATTTTTTTAAATAAATTGAGGCTTAATCTTGCTGTGGTTTCTAGTCTGTCCTTAGTGCTGTGACACAGGAATCCTGAATACACTGCCTGCAGTCTTAACAGCTTTGATTCTCGGGTTCTGCTACATGTAAGGGTATGTCTATACTACCCCGCTAGTGCGAACTAGCGGGGTAATGTATGCATACCGAACGTGCAAATGAAGCCCGGGATTTGAATTTCCCGGGCTTTATTTGCATAAGCCGGCCGGTGCCATTTTTAAATGCCGGCTTGTTCGAACCCCGTTCCACGAGGCGTACAGATAGTTCAGACTAGCTTGCTAGTCCGAACTATCTAGCCCGTGCCGCGTGTAGCCGCGCGGCACGGGGTTCGAACAAGCCGGCATTTAAAAATGGCACCGGCCGGCTTATGCAAATAAAGCCCGGGAAATTCAAATCCCGGGCTTCATTTGCACGTTCGGTATGCATACATTACCCCGCTAGTTCGCACTAGCGGGGTAGTATAGACATACCCTAAAGTACCCAAGCTTGCCAGAAATCAGATTTCTGCTGTACTCTACTGCTAATTAATTATTTCCTAATGTACACATTTAAACAGAAGATCTCACCAGAACCATGAAAAGATTGGCACAGATCAGCTAGAGGGAACATCTTGGAGGGGTCTAATCCAGTTCCACCCAACAGCTCCACAAAATCTCCCATTCCTGCACAGCCTGTTGATGGTTTCTAAGAAGACATAGACAGAAGATACATTTAGAATATAATTGATAAGTACATAGTCATCTAGATATCATTGAAGTCAGTGGAAGTTGTGGGCCCTCAGACCTGTAAAAATCAGGACACTTTTGGTCTGTTTAATGCTCGAATTTGACATTAGCTAATTTAATTTCCTTAAGAGACCACACTAGTAAGATGTAGGTAGATTTTTCCAATAGGAGTACCCATTAAATTTTTGGATTAAGTTGGTTCGAGCAAATCAAATCATTCTATCAAAAGCTGTACAGTGTTATGGCCATGATGCTGAAATATATTACTTTTGCAAAGTTTACTCAACTAACACAGGTACTGAAATTTTGCTGCTAATGTAATCCTAACTATAAATTACACATAGAGAATTGTGCAAATAACTGACTTTTTGATTCACTGGAAATTATGACAAATACAAAAATTAAAAATGTTTTACGTAGATCCTGAAAAAAAAATTATTTTTATTTTTTATTTTTTTGGCAAATTGAAAAGTAAAAAAATGGTTTGGGGTCAAATGAAATGTTCAAAACAAAATGTTTCATCTCAAGTTTGTGTGTGTGAGGCATTGTCTACAGTGCAGGGTTTTTGTGCAAGATGCCTTTTGTGGAAGAGTTCTTGCCCAAAAACTTCTTGTGCAAAAACGCATCCAGACCTCAAAGAGCATTGCAAAAGTGATGTGCTTATGAGCAAGAGAGCATCCACACCGCACGGACACTCTTGTGCAAGAAAGCTCTGATGGCCATTCGTAGCCTGGTGCTGTGCTTTTTCTGATAGGGGTTTCTTGCGCAAAAGCCCTCCAGAGCGTCCACACCTGCCTTTTTGTGCAAAAGCTGTAGTGAAAAAAAAGAGATATTCCTCATGGGGAGAGGAATAACTTTACCAGCAAAAGCCCTCTGTTCTGTCGATTTACTTGTGCAAAAAGGCACTTGAGGTGTGGACACTCTTCCAGTTTTTGCACAAACCCTGTAGTGTAGACAGAGTGTGAGAGAGAGTATGTGTGCACATGTATGTGTGTGCATGCCCCACACTGTTTCACCATGGCATTACATTTCTAGGTAGTTGTCAGCGTGACAACTTGTATGTAACCAGGCTATGTTGTTCACTAACTTAAAATGAAAATCGTAGGCGACCACGAGATCCCTCTAGCCCTGTAGGATTGTGAAAAAAACAGACACCCCATTTACCTGACCTAAAATCCACTAGGGCAGGGTGAGAGAGGATTTTGGAGCCAACACAATAATCTCTTCCCTGCAATCCTGCAATCCTGGGAAGCCCCTCAGTACATTTTGGTTTCCATGGACTGAGGGAGCTGGAAAGAGTCTATTTCTGCAGCGTCATTATCTTGGAACACTGAAAATTGTCTTCTGTGATTTAATGCTGATTGCCAGCTTTATCTTACATGGACTCACATTCTGATGCTCCAACCCATGATGGGGTTTGTCCTGGAAGTAATGTAAGAACTAGGGTTGGGTGAACACTCCCTCTCCTTGTTGAGAGACAACCAGGGAAACCCATGCAAGGAGAGCCAGTAAGGCAAGGTAACATGTGAGTATTGATTTGAGCTGCATCCTCAGAGATGTAAGATTTACAGTTCATCTGCTGAATCCCCCCGGCTCCATAAATGTTCTTTTTTTTTTAAATTAAACAATCTCTGTGCCATAAACAAAAACAGGAATGATGTAATCAGTGTATGATGAGTGTGCCACAGAATTTATGAAGTGATTAAAAACTGTATACCTCAAACCCTTGAGCCTGAATGATGGTATTGCCTGTGGAGGTGCCTGCTGCATGAAATTCAGTAATTTAGCTTCGATTATTTGCTGTTCTTTCCCATACATTGTTTATGGCCAGATTAGAAGTCGTGCCCCTTGCCTGGCTCTGCAGGTGTAGAACACTTTGAAAACGTGTGGGCAAAGGATCCCCTTAATGGCCATCACATAGTATCCAAGCAGGCTGTCAGACCCCAACTCCATGGCTGCGTCTAGATTGGCATGATTTTTCGGAAATGCTTTTAATGGAAAAGTTTTCTGTTAAAAGCATTTTCGGAACAGAGCGTCTAGATTGGCATGGACGCTTTTCCGCAAAAGCACTTTTTGCGGAAAAGCATCCATGCCAATCTAGACGCGGTTTTCCTCAAAAAAGCCCCGATTGCCATTTTCACGATCAGGGCTTTTTTGTGGAAAACAAATCTGAGCTGTCTACACTGGCCCTTTTGTGTAAAAGCTTTGCGCAAAAGGGACTTTTGCCTGAACGGGAGCAGCATAGTATTTCTGCAAGAAGCACTGATTTCTTACAGTAGGAAGTCAGTGCTTTTACGGAAATTCAAGGGGCCAGTGTAGACAGCTGGCAAGTTTTTCTGGAAAAGTGGATGATTTTCTGGAAAAACTGGCCAGTCTAGACACAGACCATATGTCTAAGAGTATGTGTACACTGCAGTTAGTCACCCATGGCTAGCCTGTGCCAGCTGACTCAGGCTCATGGGGCTCAGGCTAAAGGGCTGTGGCATGTAGACACTTGGGCAGAGGCAGGAATCCAGGCTCTAAGAACCTGCAAGGTGAGGGGGTCCCAGAGCTCAAGCTGCCCTCAAGCCCAAATGTCTACACCACATTTACATAGCCCCAGAGCCTAAATCAGTTGGCATGAGCCATCCACAGGTATCTAATTGCATTGTAGACATGCCCTGAGTCTATGATATCACCCTCAAAGCCTATTCCTGGGGCAGTGGGGAGCTCCAGAGAAGCAAAGTGCCTCTCCTAAATGCTGGAGCAGCAAGCAGTTCCTGTGATAAAGAGGTTGCAAAACGTGACAACTGACAGGTGGTAGTTCTGCAAAGGAGCCAAAACAGGAGAAATACCTCCTGGGACAAAAAAATCTGCCCCACTTCTCCCCCAAGTCTTTGCCTCTGGGTGGGGGGGGGGGCTCTCCAGAACTAGCAGGTGGTCATCCTCCATGGCTGAGCTTTGGAGGAACCTATTTGCCTTTCTGTGGATTTGGAGGGGCTCTTTCTTGCTCTGGGATTTTCCCCACCATAATAATGGTTTTAAATGATAAATGGGTCTTCTTGGGAAGATCTGTTGTGGTCCAAACGGGTTACTATAATCCACAGAGGAATTCAGTCAGTGGAGTTTCCCCAAGGTTTTATACCATTTCCATAGATTTCAAACCACCCCATGTCCGAGTCTGCAAGATAATAAGTGCCCTCCACTCCGAGCCTACTGAAATAAAAAGGGGCAGAGGGTTCTCAGAACTTCATGGGACTGGGTGCATTTTTAAATAAATTCCTGCTTTTAAAGTCTGTCATGCTAAACACACCCATAATTCTATAACATGTGTAACCCTTTTACCTGTTTAGCACCATCACTACTTCCTGTTTCAAATGTAGATTGCATGCTCTTCTGAGCAGAAGCCCTTGTTTTCTTGTGAGATGCCGAGATTAATAATAGTAAATATGCACATGACATGTTATCTATACTGCACTCCCACTGATGACTGTAGCTTACGATGACACAAACAAACAACTCACCTTTAAATGGAAGCTATTTAAATGTCCCAGTATCAGGTCAGATATTTTTATCACCACTGGATAAATTATGGAAAAGCTGCAGTTTCTGTGCTGATGTGGAATTACCATGGTAAAACTTCCAGTGGGGGTCTGAGAGATGACATTGCAAGCTTTAGCACAGGAAAAAAATATAGCATAATTATTTGGATGGTGGTCACAATTTTCACACGGCAATGATGTATGCACCCAACTGTGTACTGGACACTCTTGATGTAACCACAGCTAACAGGCCAGACTAACAGGGCCAGAATCCGCTCTCTAGAACCTCTGCTGACTTCAGCAGTATTATGCCGATGCACAGCTGGTGTAGCCATGCACAGCAGCTGACCTGCGTGCTGTGTCATTACACTCCCAAAATAGGCTAGTCTGCACCCTTCACTATCTCCTATTTTCTCAAATAATGGGTGCTATCAAAGAACAATTTGTTTTATTACTATTTACTATAAATAGAATGCTGAAAAAAGACACACACAGCATTTCCTTTGGCTAGCACATGGCATTGTTCTCTAGCAACTGTCAGCATATGAAGTGCCAGTTTCAAGAAGCGCCTTTTAACTGAGTATTTTAGATTATGTCTACACTCTAGCTGGGTGTACAAATAGAAGGTTTTATACATTATCTATGCTGCCTTTAATTTAGGTAGCCTGCTAAAATAGCAGTGAGGGTGCAATGGCACTGGCTTATGGTTTGATGCTTGTCTACAAACACTTATGCTTCTCCCATCTGCATAGGTACTCCATCTTCCCCAGAGGTAATAGCTATGGTGCATAAGAGAAGCTCTCCTGTCGACATAGTGTTGTACACACCAGGGCTTAGATCAGCATAACTATGTTATTCAGAGGTGTGGATTTTCTACAAGGTAAATTTATAGTGGAGACAAGGGTTATTTGTGGGACATACAAGCCCTCCTGCTCTGCCAGGTACATACTTGCTTTGCTAGAGCACACTGAAACCTGCGCCACCACATCCTCACTACTATTTTTAGAAGCTTCAGGGGGAAGCCAAGTTAGTCTGTACAGGTAAGCTGAAAAAACAACAAATAGTCTGGTAGCACTTTATAGACTAACAAAACATGTAGATGGTATCATGAGCTTTCGTGGGCACAGCCCACTTCTTCAGGTGACTGGAGTGTTGGATATCTAGGACCAAAATTTGTTGTTTTTACTATTTGTAGCAAGCCAGTTGGATTAAAAGTAGTGAAGTACATGTACACAAGCTGCAAATAATTCTCCTGATTACAGAGTAGATAATAGCCTTAGACCTGATCCTGCAACTGACTCTGCCTGGGTTGACTCTTATATCTTCTTAGGGTACAATTGACTTCACTGAGGCTCTGCATGGGAGCACGGGATTTTCAGTGCAGGATGAAGACCTTGCTTTTTGGCCATTATTGAGTAAGTTAAATACAGCCACTCTCTGAGTTACAAACAAGTTACGGACCAACACTTGATCCATAACTCAAACTGTTCGTAACTCAGACCCCATTGAGTTACACGCGACCGCGCTGTTCGTAAGCGCGGGTTGCGTTTGTAACTTGGGGACCACCTTTATGACTGCAGCATGGGAGCTTTGGTCATAAGTGCGAATGGTCGTAACTCAACCGTTCACTATTCGGGGAGCAGCTGTATTACATTCAGCAATCCCCAGCCGCTAGTCCATGAACTATTGGCTGCGGGGCCGCTGCGGCTGCCAGAGCTGAAGCCGGCTGTTTGCAACGGCTCAGCTCTGGCAGCCGTGGTGGCTGATTTTGCCCAGCAGCAGTGCTGGGGTTCACGTGGCAGCAGGAGGAGGCAGAGCAGGATGTACCACCTTCCCTCTCCCCCTTCCCACCCAAGTGAGATGGCAACCTGGTTGGGGCTTCATGCTCACTCCCTCCCTCTACCCATAGGGGTGCGAGAGGCACTTGGGGAGGAGCATGCGTGCTGCCAACAGCCACTTCCCCTCCCACGCAGCAGTAACAGCCATGCTCCCTAGAGGGGGCAGCCTCACTCTAGAGCAGTGGTCTCCAACCTTTATACACCCAAGATCACTTTTTAAATCTCAGAACAGGCGAAGATCTACCGCCCCGCCCCTTCCTTGAAGCCCCGCCCTCTCTATTCTCCTCCTCTCCATCGCTTGTTATCCCCAGCCCTTACTAACACACTCTGATAAACAGTTTATTTTTAAATTATGCGATACATACAATTAAAATCAGGTGTTTATAGTTATGAAATAAATGGTCTGTTTTTTATTCATGCTATTTAAATCTAAAATGAAGCATTTATAATTATACATTTTGTGGGGACAGAGTTCTGCGGCTGGGGGAAGGGGAGAGGGAACGGGGTGCTGGGAGGGCAGAGGACAGGGTTCTGCGGCAGGGGACAGAGTGCCAATGGGGACAGGTTTCTGCAGCTGGGGACAGGGTGCCAGTGAGGACAGAGTTCAGGGAGTGGGGACGGGAATAGGGACAGAGTTCTGCAGCTGGGAACAGGGGAGTGGAGACAGAATTCTGTAGCTGGGAACAGGGGAGTGGGGACAGAGTTCTCTGGTTGGGAACAGGAGAGCGGGGACAGCGTTCGGGGAGTGTGGAGGGAGTGGGGACAGAGCTCTATAGGTGGGAACAGGAGAGTGGGGACAGAGTTCTGTGGCTGGGGACAGGAGACCGGGGACAGCGTCCTGTGGCTGGGGACAGGAGACCGGGGACAGCGTTCGGAGAGCGGGGACAGCCCGGCCGCCTGGCCACGGCGCTCAGCCCGGGTGCACCACGCTCCACGTGGGCTGGTGCACAAGGGAAGCCGCCGATCAGCTGGAGCGCGAGGCAGCCTCTTCCGGGCTGAACCCACAGCCAGTTGGCTAGGGGTTTTCAGCCTTCCCAACCTCCCACCATTCCTCGCAGCTACTCACCGCTGGTGTTGCTCGATGAGTAGCTGTTCCTCAAATGAGGAAATCTAATGTAAAGGTACTGCGCATGCGCGCAGTTCACATCTGGCTCAAGAGCTACTCTTAGAGCCTTTGAGAGCGACCGGTAGATCACGATCTACCGGTTGGTGACCATGGCTCTAGAGAGTGCAAGTGTGGGGTGTGGTCAGAGGGCAAAAGGGTGTTGGGTGAGGGTGTGGTGGAGTCATGGGGCAAGAGGGTGTTGATATGGGCTGTAGGACTAAAAGGTCAAAGGGCACAGGGTGTAGGGATGGGGGGCAAAGGGAGTTAGATTCTGGGGAGCAAGGGGTTAGTTTGGGGCTAGAAGGACCAGCAACATGTTATTAGCATACTTTCATAATGAATATGCAAATATGCAAATAAAATGATACTGGTCTGCCAAAAGCTTGTGAATGGGTTTGATGGTCTGCAGTATAAAAAAGGTTGGGAACCACTGCCCTAGCTAATATCTTACATTATAAATCTACTGAAACATTCACTGACAGACATGCACTGCCCCCATTTACTCACACTGAAAAGGGTCCCATTGGAATCAGAGAAGATGAATATAGATTTTATTTTAAAATCTTAATTAAATTGAGAGAGTCAGACCGTGTTGATGGCAGCTTACCAATAGACTTGTGTCTCAGGAGAGGAAAGCAGTGGTTGCTTGGTTTTGGCACACTTGTTTTTGCTTTATTTCAGATCCTTTATTTTATTCCAAGGAATCTTTTTCTTTAAAGAATATTTATTCTAATGCATGGCTCAAGCATTGCCTCTCTATGTGCACCTCACCTCCCACCCTCCTTGATTATGCAGGGCACACATGCTCTGGTTCAGCATACATTCTACAGAACTGACAGAGACTGGATGGGCTGAAAAAAGGCATGGGTGGGACCTGGGCATTGAATTGTCATTTCCCCACAGTAGCCATAAGCAGGAGCAGGCTTCAGATCAGTGATGTTCAACCTTCAGTCTGTGGGATGCTTGTGGTCCAATCAGCACAGAGCTGCAGCTCATGCGACATCCTCAGAGCCTTGCATAGTAATGCACATGGTCCACAATGATAATAGATTGAGAACCACTACTCCAAGGGAAGTATAATGCAGAGGAGCAGAGCCAGGTAATCTCCCAAAGATTATCAAGATTGGGGTCTGCCTTCATAGACTTTCATATGGGGAGGGAGTAGATTAACTCCACCCTTTCCATGGGGAGAGCCTCGCAGAGTATTTCTTGCTCTGAGACTCCTCCTATGGGTCGGGATTGTTTGAGCCTAGAATATAAAGTAGAGCATATTCAGAATTGGTAGGAGTGGCATTCTGAGTTAGTATATTTATCAAATGAAACTGGACATGTTGAATAGTACTTGCCAAATAATTTGCTGAATTTTGTGATGTGTTTTGAGTAAATTTGTTTCATTTGGACATTTTAGAGAGTTGGACAAATCATTTGAAAATGCAGTTATAGAATAATATGGCAAAATTCACCATATCTTTCAAATAACATATTTGAATATTTTTTCTCACTGCTTACCCAGCTCTAGTATTTGCTAAGTTTATGATACTTAAAGTAATACCATTTACTTTTGGGGGATATATCAGTATTATAGATTGGGATAAATTTTCTTTGAAATAAAAATTCCTTGGATTTTACAGATAGCAGGCATTCTTAAAAAAATCCATCACATTTCACTGACTTTCTCTTGTAACTTGAGACACAAGTTGAGCTTATATCAGAAGCAGTACAGTTGAGACACAAGTTGAGCCTATATGAGAAATTTATGAACCAAGTCCTTAGCTGGTATAAATTGTTACAGCTCCACTGAAGTCACTGGAGCATTGTCATTTTACAGCAGCTAGAAATCTGGTCCTCTAAGTCTATCGATTTACTGAAGACTTCAACATTATTTTAGAGAGTGGTTTTAAGTTACCAGCTTCTTTTTAACTGCACTGCATCATACTAATAGGTTATTTTTGGTTCCCTATGCAAATGTAGCCCATCCAACAATCCAAGTGGAACCCATGGCAATATGAAAATCAGACTTACGGAAGAGGTTGGAAATTTTCTTTATTGTGAATGTAAATCCATTCCCAGGTTCATGAATCCTAAAGAAGATCATTGCCACATTCTGGGATGACCTGATGCTCCTTTGGATGTTGCCACTTTCACAAAAATCTATGTATCTCTCTGAAGTAGGGAGAGGATGGTCCAAAGAACTAGGAAATTTCTCACCTTTGAGTATCCAGCCATCAAACACCTAAAGGGGTTCAATAATTCAAAGAACAATTCTGGTTTGTTATCTGTCTAGTTTTCCAGCAGACTCAAGATGTGTAGAGTATAGAGTGTAAAACATTTAAAAGAGACTCCACGGCTAAAGATTGTGTTGTATTTTCCTTGGAAAGTGGAGTTTGATGGTGATATTTTAAAACGCAAATAAGGGAATTAGGAACACAAGACCCATTTATGTTTAATGAGCTCCTAACTCCCCTAGATGGTTTTGAGTATCATACCCTGAAACATGAAACTTCACACTGATGCATCCCACAACACCACTTCAAAAAGGAATATAAACTTGCATTTTACAAAGCCTTGGCAGAATCCAGCTGATCCTCCATGTATGTAAATACTAAGGGAATTAAAAATCAGTCATTCCTGACATTTTTATAGCGGTTCTTGTGCAGATTTTTTCCCCCAAACTCCTCTGCCTTTGCAATTGCAGTGTTTATGGATTTGCTATTTCTCCCGTAGCTTTATGCTCCCCCAAAAAATATAAGCTCCCATGGGGGATCAGTGTTATAAGATGCTGAAAGATAACATTGTATTTGCATGACTGCAGCTGACAGAATAATGCATCTTCATGGTCAATAACATCCATTCTCTAAAACTGTGTCCCTGGCTTTGCTGCTCCCCATCCTCTGTGCATGCTGTGTCTCTGCTTCCTGAGCCCTTCTGCTTCTACCACAACTAGCTGTCTGGTTCCACAGCTCTGGCCCTTCCCAAACCTTCACCCTTGCTAAATCCATCTCACCTGTCTTTCCCTCTCACCCCCAAACAGCCTTCCAAGTACATGCAATGGTTTGACAGCCTGAGTTTCAGTCCAGAAAGTCTGGCAAGTTTGAGTGAAATTCTGAGGAACGGAGTGTGTGCTGTGTTGTGGGTGGCTGTGTGTGGGCAACAAAAGAGTGTTCATGGAAGTGACGAGTCTGTGAATACACTAGAATGTACTAATCTTTCAGGAGTAAGGTCTGTGAATGCAGTTTAGCAGAGATTCTGATGCTACTTTACATGGTGATTGACTTTGTTTTTGATTCTTGTGCTGGGAGGAAATGCACTTCTGCAGCCTTAACAGCAATTCAACTAACTTTCCTGCATGGGTAGATATTGATCCCACATTAAAGGCACAGAAAAGCAGCTAGGGTATGTCTACACTACCCCCCTAGTTTGAACTAGGGGGGGTAATGTAGTCATACGGAGTTGCAAATGAAGCCCGGGATTTGAATTTCCTGGGCTTCATTTGCATAAAGCCGGCCGGCGCCATTTTTAAATGCCGGCTAGGTCAGACCCGGTGCCGCGCGGCTACACGCGGCACGGACTAGCTAGTTCGGATTAGGGTTCCTAATCCGAACTAGCTGTACACCTCATTCCACGTACAGTTCGGACAGGAAGCCTAATCCGAACTAGCTAGTTTGTGCCGCGTGTAGCCGCGCGGCACACAGTCCGAACTAGCCGGCATTTAAAAATGGCGCCGGCCGGCTTTATGCAAATGAAGCCCAGGAAATTCAAATCCCGGGCTTCATTTGCAACTCCGTATGACTACATTACCCCCCCCAGTTCAAACTAGGGGGGTAGTGTAGACATACCCCTATATACTAAACTGCTCAAGATAGTTAAGACCAAAGCAGACTGTGAAGAGCTTCAAAAAGATCTCACCGAACTAAGTGATTGGGCAACAAAATGGCAAATGAAATTTAATGTTGATAAATGTAAAGTAATGCATATTGGAAAAAAATTCCAACTATACATACAACACGATGGGGACTAATTTAGCTACAACTACTCAATAGAGAGATCTTGCAGTCATTGTGGATAGTTCTCTGAAAACATCCACTCCGTGTGCAGCGGCAGACAAAAAAGCAAACAGAATGTTAGGGATCATTTAAAAAGGGATAGAGAATAAGACAGAGAATATCTTATTGCCTCTGTCTAAAACCATGGTATGCCCACATCTTTTAGATGTGGTTGCCTCATCTAAAAAAGATATATTTGCATTGAAAAAGGTTCAGAGAAGGGCAACAAAATGATGAAGAGATTGGAACGGGTCCCATATGAAGAGAGATTAAAATGACTTGGACTTTTCATCTTAGAAAAGAGGAGACTAAGGGGGGTTATGACAGAGGTCTATAAAATCATGACTGGTATGGAAAAAGTGAATAAGGAAAAGTAATTTACTTATTCCCACAATATAAGAATTAGGGGTCATAAAATGAAATAAATAGGCAGCAGGTTTAAAACAAACAAAAAGAAGTTTTTCTTCACTCAGCACACAGTCAAGCTGTGGAACTTCTTGCCAGAGGATTTGGTGAAGATTAGGTATTTAACAGGGTTCAAAAAAGAGATAGATAGATAGATTAATGGAGGCTAGGTCCATCAATGGCTATTAGCCAAGATGGGTCAGAATGGTGTCCCTAGCTTCTGATTGTCTGGAGATGGGTGACAGGAGAGGGATCACATGAGGATTACTTGTTGTTCCCTCCCTCTTGAGCATTTGGTATTGACCACTGTCGGCAGACAGGATACTAGGTTAGATGGACCTTGGTCTGATCCAGTATGGCTGTTCTTGTGTTCTTATGCTAGGTTAGTAAGGGTGTGTCTACACTGCACCGTTATTTCAAGATAACTAACATTATTTTGAAATAACATTGCGAGCATCTACACAGTCATTCCATTATTTCAAAACTATTTGAAATAATGGATGGCTTATTCCAAAATCTGTAAACCTCATTCTACAAGGAATAATGCCTATTCCAAAAGAGCTATTTAGAAATAAAGCATGTGTAGATGCTCCACTGCTGCTATTTCGAAATAGCCCCTCACCGGGGCCATTCTAAGTTATTCCTCCCCACTGCCTCCTAGGGCTCTAAATCAAGATAGCACATCTACATTAGGGAAGCCTGCCTCAAACTAATTTTGAGGTTTCCCTGAAGTGTAGATGTGCTATTTCAAAATAAGCTATTTCGGCATAACTATTCCGGAATAGCTTATTTCAAAATAAGCATGCTGTGTAGACATACCCAAAATGATCAAGTATTTTAAGATTATACAGAGTCCTGTTCCACAAAGTCTACTTGCAAGTAGCCTGGCAGCAGTAAATGCTTCCATGAATAAGGGTGTGTCTAGACTACATGCCTCCTTCGACGGAGGCATGTAGATTAGCCAGATCG